CTGCTGTCCTGCTTTGTCTTTTGAGTTAAAGGGCAATGTTTTCGATTCAGGTGAGTTGTATTTCACATCAGCAAACCCTCTGCAAGTTTTGGAAACAAGACCAAGTCTGGTTATTATCCAAAGAGCTACAGAACACATACCACTTGCTTGCTTCTCCAAGAAATGATGCTGGGGTCTAAATTTGCAAGAGAGGAACAGAGAAAAGTCAAACACAACAACAGGCTCTACCATCCAAACCATGATAGGCTTCCACACAGAGATGTGACTTCACACCTACTTCTATAGAAAGGGGATGAAGTCATGCTTTAGCACATGCTTTTACACAGCTGGAAAGACTTATAACCTCATATGAAAATATGATGCCTCCCTCTAGTGGGTTCTTCCTGTGACCACATTTTAGGTGGAGAAATAGCTTTAGGAAGCTGATCAAAGGCAAAGCATCTCAGCACTATATATACTTAGTCTGAATTTAATGACTCAAATCCATGCAACCAGATTGCCAAGCACTATGGAGCTGTTAGTGTGCCACAGCAGCAAGATCAAGCTTTTGATCCTGCCAATTATCTGCAGCAAGCACACATTAAGGGTTACAAGCTCAGACTCTGTAGCCACAGCAGCATTTGTCATGAAGAGTTGGGGGTAGGAGAACCACAGTTAACATTTTTCCTTTCAATGCTTGTGTCTTACCTTTATTAAAGGTGTTACAGAACAATAGCCACAACATGCCAGTCTGCTAGCAGAGAGGGGTTAACAGCAGTAGAGAATGAAAGAGGATATAAGCAACTTGTTTACAAATAGTTAAGTTGTTCTCTATTCATTTTCTTTTTGTTGGAACAGTGACACTTGTGAGTGAGAGAAACTGCCTCTGGAGGATACCAAAAATACATTTCGTCTGCAAATTCACAAATTCTTGAAAACTGTTTGGAAAAAAAAAAAAAATCAAGATGGCACTATCACTCCAGGAACTTTCTTCCTTTTAGGATAGCTGTCCACACAGGGCTTCCACAGCTTACTGAGAAATCAAGAGATCTTTTACCAAACATTAGTAAGCTTTCCTTTTCACAGTAGCATTGAAAAAAATCTGTATGTTGCTCAAATGCCTTAAATCATGCAATATGAACAATCTACAGCTGTAGATGTGATTCTCTGAACACATTCTAGTTTCCAGCTTACAGCAGAACCAGTCCAAAAAGACAGAAGTCAGTTTACTTGGCATCGGAGGACCTTACACAGTCAGTGAGGCAAATGTAACCAGGTCTGCACTTTAAAGATACAGAGTGAAGTAGTTTTACTCATCCATCATATCTTTTATTTCCTAATACCAGGATGTGATCATCTTTAAGGAAGTTGAGGGATAAGAACTGAGGAACATACCAGCTGCACTTTACAGATTAACAGCCACAAAAATAGAAAGCAACTATACGATCTCTGGGTTTCACAAAACTAGTTTTCATTTGTAACACTTGACGCAACAAGATTAACTGCAACAAGTGAAAAAGCTACATCTGTAAAGTGCTATTTTTGTTAGAAGTGGCTAAAAAAGCACAACTACAACAGATTTGGGTATTCCGTGGTTGGATTGTCGATGTCCTCTTAATTCTTTCATTTCAGGCTCTGTGTTTTTTGATGAAATTGATGAGCCCATTTGTTGAGCTATCATGAGATGTCACTGGAGCATCTGACTCCAGTTCAGGCTCAATTTTCTTTGCAAGTTGTTTTCCAAGCTCAACTCTGCATTTATAAAAGCAGGAGAAGAAAGAAGAAAAACATCAGTACTAACAACTTACAATATTTACTATAAGCCATTGACATTAAAAATATTTGCCAGTAAGAAGTGATTTGACAGTGAACTATGATGAATGTTTCTCCCTTCACAAATTACTGACAAAGTTGGTATTAATCAACTCAGTGCCATTCATGAACAACTGGAGTTCTAACAGCTGCTTAGCTGAACAGACAGCTCTCAAACTACAGGATATCTAAAAAGCGAAAGTTTTGTTTTAGAAGTTAAACAGTCTTTTCCTCTTCAGTACCCATTTGTGTTATGCAGCCTGCCTCAACGCAGAATACGTTCAGCTTGCTACTGTTCACTGTCGAACATGACATCACTCAGAACACTGATCTGTAGCACCACGACAGAAAGCAGCCAAGCTGCAGGCCTGGACACCTTCCCCAACACTACAGCATGCTATCCAGGAGTTACAGCCACAGACAAGGTCAGAATCTAGGATATTCCAACAGCTGCAAGAAACTAGGCTGGTTCTACAGCATCCCCACGTATCATAGTTCGCCTTGGATGCCATTCTAGATTTTGATGTGTTGCAGTAAAAGCTGTACTTACTCCTATCTCACTCCTGATTTCAGAGTTTATAGCAGTCATCAGCTTTTATTAGAGCACCTTCCATTTGCAGTTTCTACTACAATATTTTAGTTGAAGAACTTACTGTGGTAGCTCAGGTCTAAGAAAACATATACAAAGACAGACCTATCCTTCACCCTTTAAGAAGGGAGCTTAGTGTAAACTGCTATTCTAGGCCTGTAGACCAAGTTTTCTCTTCCAAATAACCCCTCACAGCATAGGCATGTTTCACCCGAAAAAAAATCTTACTTATTTCCCAATCCCTCTTTCTCCTGCATAAGTTTTCATACAGTATGTTGTACATACAGTTAGTATTACTACAAATTAAAATACTGATTAGCTCCTGATTAAGTTTTCCATTTTTCAAAGTGACAAAGTGAAACTCCTTGTGAAGCTGTTGTTCTCCACATGGAGCTCTATCATGAACCTTGGTCACAGGTGCAGCCTGCATCAGTCCAAGGGCTTTTATGTATGAAGACATCTGCCAAGAACATTCTCGTATCTTTAGTATAGGAAAATTAAGAGGTGGTCAGTCTTTTGCTTGACAGATGCCATCAAACTGTCTACTAAAACGTTTCTAGAGGTAAAATAATTTTTTTCTCCCTTCTATAAGGGAAATTATTTTCCCTGTCTAATTGTCAGAGCATGTGTTCAGCCTGCTTGACTATTTTACTCATTTGCTGCTGATCTTCTTCATTCATAGTGGGTTTTATTTATTTTTAAATCAAATTAAACAAAGGTCTTTAGTTAAAGTTGCATCTACAAAGTCATTATTCATGGCTGAACAAGGATATATGGTGACTTATCCTCACAAAATCTGTTTTCATTTAAAACTATCCTATAATCATCTGCTCTAAGTGTAACACTTATTTCTTCATTGTCTTTTCTCTAAATCATGAAAGATTAAGGAATACCACAGCCAATAAGTATACAAGAAACAGATCAAAGAGACTTACCCCCACTGGTCATAACTGTTAATATCCCAGACAATTCCTTGAACAAATATCTTGTGCTCATACATGGCTATAAGCAGAAAAAAATTTGTTAATAAACTTTAGCAGAAAGTCCTAAGCATCACAGATGAAAGATTTATTTACTTACCAATTATGGCTCCCAGAGTGAACGGGTTGAGTTTTGTAAACATGATAGAATTGGTTGGTCGATTTCCCTCAAAGACCTTTCAAAATAAGTTACATTGTTATCTCTTGTGCTGTAAAACTCACATCAGAAACTGGCAGTTTATATTTTCCTTACACCCACATTGGAGTATTTGTATTACAAAATTCTGAAAGCTTTAAGAGCTAACAACTTCAACCATAAAATTCTATCATTTCCATGTTTTATTGCAAACACAATGGCGAAGTGTTATATCCAAGTACCATTACTAGCTACTACGGACTACAGGAAGTAGTAAAATACAAGTCAACACTCCAAGGGCAGTGATGAGAGCTGTCTTTTCTGAAACGCCTCAGAAGGCTTCCAGACCAGCATGCTTTAGCAGGAGCACCAGTCACAGACTGCTCCACTAGACCTGACAAAGTAGAACCTGTAACACAACCGTCACAGCTGTCAAGACAGTAGCACTCGACAGCCACCGGAGGGCACTGCCCATCAGCAAACTCCATCAAGCAGACCAACACAACGGCCCCCCCACCACAGCACCAACGAGAGGAAAGCTGTCGAGTGCCAAAGTCTGGTTACCTTATGGGGAAGGAGCTTCTCCAGAGCATCTCCACTCAGTCCTGCCGCTTGAAGTTCCTTACGAGCTTCATCAGCAGTTTTTCCTTTCATCAAGGCCTCAGTCTGAGCAAGGAAGTTGGCCAGAAGGATCTAGAAGGTAGAAATAAAAGCCTCAACTCAAGTTTCCTTAGCTGGAGTAGTGGTATCTTGTGCTTGAATCCAGACCAAGACCTAGTCTTGCAGTTTTTAATGCTATTACAGTAAAGCATGTATAATGCCCACTATTGCTTTTTACCCCAGAATGCCAGCAGACTTGATTACTATTTTCATAGTGCATGTATCCAAAGACAACCAGAACCATTTTGCTCCTGCCTCTGCTGAATCTGACAGCAAGCCTTCCAGAGAGAAGAAAGGAGCCAGGACTTCACACACCTCTTTCACCCAGTATAGTCTATGCTTTTATCCCATGCTACTCCACATGCATGGAAAGCCAGGTGCAAAGACTGTTCAAAGGTAATCAACTAAGAGGCACTTAACTCTATATGAAGGAAAATCCTCACAGCGTACCATATACCTAATCCCTACCAACACAGTAATTTCTATTTCCTATTCCCTGCTGCAGCAGGATCACCGCCCTGCCCCAAAGGAAGCCCAAGGCCTTCGGTGCAGCAGCCACCAGCTCCTTCACACTCTTATCTTCTGAGCCTCTAGTGTCACATCATGGCCAGGTGCCAACCAGCACTTACTTCCTCTCTAGTGATGGGAATGAGAAAGGCACAACCCCTTGGTCAACAGACAGGGTCCCGAGCCAGTAGGACACCTTGGCCCAGAGGAGCCTCTGAACCATAACCAACAGATGACCACAGTTCAGATCTGACCAGGCTATAGAGTGCAGCCCCTGTTGGAGACCCCCTTGGAGAGGTTCTCAGAGCAGCAAGTCTGTGATTGGAACCTCTCTCCTGCTTCAGATTGGGACACCATCCACTGTATTACACATATTTTATCTATTATGTAATTATAATTTAGATATTACCAAACCTATTGTAAATGTTCACAGAGCCTATGTGTGTAGTTTCAAAGGGACACTTACAAGTCTCACACACTGCAATACTGAGTAAGCCTTAATGCCTTCAGCCACAAGAAAATATGGGTGCCCTGACAAAGATCTTACTACCTTGTGATGCAAGCCATTTCTGACTGGATGCTGGGTCTGGACTGGGATCAGAAAGTCACAAGGAATCATGCGAGTTCCTGTAAGAAAAGCCATGTTAATAACACTGCAACAGGAAAGTCTTAGAAGATCAATTCTCACCTCATTTTCAGAGTTAACTGGAAGACTCAGCCACTTTAAAAAGCTTTTTAAAAAAGCTTTTTTTTATTAGCAGTAGTTGGAAGTGACAATAAAACTCAGTAGTTTCAGTTTTAGTTGACACTCCTTATTGTAGAGTTAAAATCTGCAGCTTATAGTCTTCTAAAGCCACTAATTAAGAGCACCATAGCAATGTGATACTAGGTTAGAAAAGAGCCCAACCTCTAAACCAGTGTCAATTCTGCAGACTCTTCCAGCTTTGTAGCCATTGAGAATTTAACTCAAAACAAGGTATTGAATAGTTTCGGTTTACCTTGATGAATGAGCTGGTAAAAAGCATGCTGCCCATTGGTGCCAGGCTCTCCCCACACAATAGGGCCAGTACTGTAGTCCACACGAGAACCTTTCTTTGTAATGTATTTGCCATTAGATTCCATATCACCCTAAAAGAAAAGGGCAGTATCACCTCTCTTGCCAAACCACACAGTTATTAGTACGAGTTTCCATACATACTTCAACTATAATGAGTGCCGTTCATTTATGGAAATTTCTTCAGTATCAGGGATATAGCCGCTTAATTTATAGTCACCAAGATAATGGAGGTCTGAGGAAAAAATTTCTCAATTAACTGAGCAAATAAGCTGGTATCAAATTTGGCACCAGTCTCTTTAGGCCCTTGATTACACAAATTTAAGTGACTGCAATTTTAATGTAGAAACATGCATTCAGGTTCTAGAACCAGGACGGAAGCATATCTGCATATTCACCTCTTGAAACCTTTACTCTGCCTGAGCCTTACCTGCTGGAAATAGGCAGCAAAGCGGTGCATGTATTGGTCATAGGGCAGAAGGGCATGGGTTTCACATCCATAGCAGTTTATGTACCAGATCCCTAGCATGGCCAACAGAACAGGCATGTTCTTCTCCAGTGGAGCAGTGTGGAAGTGATTATCCTATGTGATACAAAAAAATTTACACTTTTCATAAAGCAATTGTCATCCCTCCCAACTCTTAAATCATTTTTCTTGTTGTTTCGAACTGGGGAGAGCTTTCCAAGCACAGTCGTTTTAGAAGCACTGTGAGGACATGGAGAGCTGAACTTCAGAAACCAACCTGCCTTCAGTTCTCACTTACAACTCTTAAGAGGAGCAAATCTGAAACAGGTGTCACACTCACCATCCAGTGGGCTCCTGCAAGCAGGCTCTCAAAATTGTCAAAACCTAACAAGGGAAAAAGTCTGTATTTACTATTAAAACTCAAACTTAATTTTTCTTGTAGAGATAATCTTAAAACAGTTGAGATTCCTTGTATGCAGCAAGGCTCCCAACTACTAATGGAGTTTAAAGTTGCACTTTGACTTCTCTTGAAATTTGCATCCCATAAGCCAGATATATTCAGTCATGATTAACGCCTGGACTTCAGCGCAAGTGCAACTTCATGAAACATACTTCAAAAACCTTTGCCTAAAATCCCCATTCAGGCAGACTGAACAACTGGAAGGAAAACAGGCACTAAAACCAGGCTCTGTATTATAGACTACATAGCTTTCAGCAAGTTTGAACACTTAGTCACAGTGGCAGAGACATCTCCATCCCCTCAAAGATAGGGCAAGGCTAATACAGCAGAGATTTCAGTCTAACAACTGTAATAAGGTCTTCTCAAAGAGCAAGGTTCCCCTACTTCCCTGTTCTCTTCACAATTCACCTGATTTTTTTTCTCTCTATAATTAGGGTACTTAAATCACCATTCATTTTCACTTATCAGTATTGTAACTAATACCATTCTTTCCTGCAAAGCCAGAAATCCTAATTCTTATATGGAAAAATCAAAGATGGTGAAGTGTTTAGCAATCAAAGCAGCAGCTCTACCTACGGCCAGAAGCCAGTTTTGGGAGACGAAGGATCTAAGAGCAAGAAGTGCAGATAGATTGGCATGTCAGTAGTCAGCACCAAATCTGTCTGACAGCAGAAATGAACAATTTATTGCAGACAAAACAGTAAGTGTCTGACTGAAGTTTATTTTGCTGATCACATAAGCTTTTCTACACATGACAACTCCTATTTATATCATTCTAAAAACATCAGAACCAATGTTTTTCTTCTAATATCAGTCTAAGGGAATTCCAGCTTCTATTTAGAAAAAAATTACATTACGGTTTTGGACTTCAAGTATCTGAAAGAGGCGATGATGGAAAAAATGCCAGGCTCCCAAACAGCCTGCTCACCAAGAAGCAGCAATTCTTGGAGCTCTTTGACATTCACTGTGTACTCTCTACCTGCCTTTGAGATCTGCATCAGAAATGTCAATGCTATCCCATAACAATACAAGCAGATGGGGATCGATTTAGAGGGTCTATGTTTGTTCCACAACCAGTTGCAGACAGAAACACCATTTCTGTATCATCAGGCTCTACAGCTTAGAACAAGTACTGGGGACAAAAGGAAGTAATGGAGGAAATATTTAACAATGCTAAACAGAGCTCACATGCAGAACTGAAGACATAAGATATGGATGTTTAGTGTGCTTGTACTCACAGAAACTAAATACCCAACTCTTCAGTACTTTAGCAGCGTCAGTTGCAAGGTGTAATTTTCAACACTGACATGGCTTTACATAAATCAGGCACTTCTGGCTATGCAAGTGACTAAAGACATTGACTAATTTGACTATTTCAAAAACTGCTTATATGTACTAAAATCTCAACATTTCCATTGCATTACAGATTATTTTTTTTAGCATGAACAACCAACTACTTAGAGTAGGTTGGGTAAAATAATATTTGACCCAAATCTGATCCACAATCCACTATTGTTAATGCATTCTGTAGCTATATTCCTGAAGCAAACAGATCAATTATTGGCATTGTTACATCACAGGAATACCTACCAATATGCAGGGCAATGGAGAGACCAATGGCAGACCACAGAGAGTAGCGGCCACCAACCCACTAAAAACAAGAGATTGGTTTAGACAGGAGATGTGAAAGGCTTTTAGATTCAAACTTAGTCAAACTATTAGGAAAAAGCAGCATGTATTTAAACTATTTTCAGCAAAATCAATATTATTTCTGGTGAAAATTCACTATACATTAGATGGCATAGTCAAAGAAATCTGCACCTTAAAGTAGCCCCCTAATGAATCCTTAATTATGCATTTTTTGAGACTTTGAAGTTAACCCATTTGTCCGATTTATGTAACATGTGTTGAAGCAGATCCCTTGATGATTCAAGTTCACTTTCACATACTAAATTTGCAGCTTGTACTAACTGCTTTCCTAATATCACTCCTCTATAAGTAAAGCCTGCTTCAGCAAGATTATGACACTAGGGAAAGATAGTGTTCTAGATAACTTCTGAACAGCAGCTTTAAAATTTCATTTGTCAGGCACACAGTCAATGAGATAAACCAACCTGTTACTGGTTAAGTATAAGGGCCAAGACTAAAAGCAGTATACTTAAAATATGCATCTGCTATAAAATATCAAATTAGACTCCTGTTTCTGATGTTTGACCTTTACAGGCCTAGATTATATACAGTAGACCCCATCAGCCAAATGTCACAGCTTATAATAACTACTTACACAGAGGAATAAGTTAAGACTTGTATCTCCTGTTACCCAACAGCTGATTAGACAGCCAAGAACATAGAAGGCTCCTCTTCAGACCTTTGACTGCAGGATTTTAACAGAATGCCCAAGAGGCCAGACTGTTTTGCTTCCCTGACACGTTCTCAATTTTCCTTTAGATACAAGTTTTCAGATGTTTCAGTACAAAGAATATAATTGCTATAGTTTAGGGGGTTTGGCAGTTCCCTGATATCTAGTTAACATTTTCTGAAGCAAGTTAGATTATTCTAACAGTTAACGTCCACCACACAATATTAGGTATTTACTTACATCCCAAAACTCAAACATGTTCTCTGGGTCAATTCCAAAGTCTTTAACTTTAGGCTAAGATAAAAAAAGCATGTAAGAACACCATAAGTAAAACCAACATTCTTAAAATGCTTTATGTCTAGCAAATAAAACCACAAGTTCGGTACTATTAAACACAACTCCTCTATTACATCCTCTAATTCAAGAACACATAGCATCCATCAGAAAAAGTATACCTCATTTCCAGAGACCACTATCACTACTCAATAGTCTCAAATAAAAATCAATGACAAACTCATTTTCTGATCAATTTAAGTGGCAATATAGTTAGGAGTTGGACTGACATTCAGTTTATATTTAACAGAACCAGAATGAAAGAAAGGAACTTCACACCACAGTACCCAAGAGCCTTCCAATTATTCAAAAGTCTTTTTCTAATTGCTATTGGTCTTTCTAACTTATACTTTTGCATGAAACATCACAGCAGGGTATGTTATGCTCATCATATGCTACAGATTATTCACACAAACTATCTGGATCACTTCAACACTTACTGGAGGAGTCTAGGAAAATAATATTTGCTCACATAACTGCATATTATAGGTAACATTCACTAATAACAGGACAGTCATTTCAAGTATAAAAGATCTTAATTCCAGATTTAAAGCTCTAACAGAAAAAGCACAAATCTATAATGAAAGTCTAATTTCACTACAGTTCATTACTCCAGGAGTGTTTCAGCTATTTTCAGTGGAAAAAATGCTGCTGCCTTGAAAGGAAGCATATAACTACTGGTATTCAGGTAACAGTGTCTTAGAAGATAGCCTTATTTTAAAATTGGGTGAGGAAGCCTATCTTAAAGGTACATAGAAAAAATAAAACAGATTTGTTATACTTACACCATTGGTAGACAAGGCAACAAAATGCTTGGCCACAGCTGAAGGCTTAATAAAAATAAACAGATTGTTAGATCTAGAATGCTAATTATCTTAATTTCTGGTTATAAAGCTGATCTGCTACCATTTACATTTAAACAAAACACCACTATCATTTATTTTTGTTATCAACTTGAAATCATCCTATTTACATTCAGTGTAGGATTTGGCAGCATGCCTCAAGATAATATTCTTAAAATATTCTCATGCAGTCCTCTAGAAGGAGTTACTACTTATAGCAGCACACTATTTCCTTAAGGGTATGTTATCAGTTTGAAACATTGCAACCACCACTTTGGAGCAGATGGAATTTGTTGTACATGTGCTACCCTTCCAGCCAGAGTCAAAAGATCAAGACAACTGGAATTACTGACAAATCTCAAGCTCCCGATTCAGACTTTGGTCTTTCAGTAAGCATTCTGGTGAAAAAAGATGAGTTGCCTGCAATGGTAGTGTAATGAGGAATTTCAAAGCATAGCTTTCAAACTAAGTACAGGCACCCTGACCAGAACAGATTAAAGACCATCGTAATTACCTGAGCAGGCACTATCTGCTTTTTCTTTTAAAGGTTAGAAATAGGAGAGAATGAGCCAAATACAAGATTCATAACACAGTCATCTGCCATAGTAATGTCAGTATATCACTCCAACCATAGCTTTGTTTCTAGTTTTTAAAGATTTGCCAAGAATTGGAAGGTAATGCCACGTAAACACCATATTCTTGGATATCCATGTCAGTGGTTCTACCAAATTAGTCAGCTCTAAGGTAAAAGCTACACTCTTACTTAACAGGCAGGATTAGAGGGAAGAATGCATGACAACCATTTATAACAAAAAACTAGTGGTTTTATCGCTTTGATCAGACATAAGAGCCTGTCACTAACCATGAAGCACTGGTATGTTATACATTCAGCATTTGCTGAGCTATGCAGCTTATGTTTGGGCAGCTTCTGGCTCTGCTCCAAAGCACACAGAATGACCAGGGAGAAACTGCACAAAGAAAAGCTGTTGCATTCTGTTACGTAACCTAAACATATTAGACTTACATCATTAGCAGCATGTAAGAACCACTCTTTAGCCGTTTCTGCGTTGGTGATAGTTTCTTGGGTGGTGAAAGTCTGTACATTGGAAAAACAAAGTATGTAAAACATTGTGCTTAAAACTGAAACAACTCCAGGCTGCTAAAACACCCTGTGTTCCAGATAATCAGAGCAGAGTGATTCTTGATGCTCATAATAGGCAGCTGCTGCCAGATTTCAGGAAGAAAGCAAGCTAATCCAGTAAACAATGTTGCTAGATTCACCTATCTAGTTTTAAACTAGCATATATCTGGAACTAGAATAATTATTCCCCATTTCCTACCTTCCCTCCCCTAACCTGTTATGCAAAACCTCAAGACTAAAATTTTCTGCTTTAGTCTTTCACTAAACATGAAGTCTTACCACTCAACTAAAAAGGAACCAATCTAGTATCAGAAGAGGATAACCTAGCTGGATTGTCCTCTTGTTCTTCAATTCCTACTTTTTCATGGAGGGACACTAATTTCTGCTAAGACTCTTGCCATAATTTTGTTTTGCTGATTAGAGGAAAACATTTTCCTGCTTCATGAAGTGCGCACAGAAGTTCAGTCATGCAGTTTTGCAAGTATCTACAGCCATTCTGATTTACTCAACCATTAAAATTTAGCTTTAAGGGTGAACACTAGATTCAGCCTACTCTTATCCACCTCCAGAAATATTTCATTATAAAACACAAGCCTGTTACAGAACACAAAAAAATGCCATTCATCCTCTTCCAAATATATCCAATTATCTAACTACAGTCTGGCAAACAGAAATTGAAGTGTTACTCTTTCAATTTGGCAGTCTTCTAAGCCTTTGAACCGTGATCCTTGAACTCAATTATTCAAAGTGACCATTAGCATAACTTTGTGAAGTTTCCTTATTATTCCATAAGTTGTTGCTTGACTGCAGTATTGCCAAGATAAGATAATGAGCATCACTGCGGAGCATGGCCAGCACTACACACATGTTCATTCGTTGCAGATTCTGTCTTCAACAGCAAAAAAGTTCTACTGCACTTTACAAATGAAGGCCATGCAAGTTATATAAGTATGAAGTTTGTCTTCATCAGTTTCCTCCACTAGGACAGAAGCATTCCTCAAAGACAGCAGCTAGCAATTATGTTTACAGAATAAGTAATAACTTAATTTATTATTAACTTAAGTCTTGCCTTGCAAGGCTTAAAATAAGGCAGTTAAGTCCGTATTCAGAAACATCATCTTATAAACTACCAGAAGACTATCTTTACCTCTTTTTAAGTAAAGAAGCTTAGTATTTATAGTGCATAAGGCATTCAGCATTTAAGTTATTTAGCTGAAGATATTTTGTTACTACCCTAAACCAGAGTGAAGATTCCTGAACTACGTGCAATTAATTACCGCAAGAATTAACGCAAAACCCGAAACACTTAACAAGTAAAACTATGCTTAACATAAAGGACCAAAAGTAACCCTAAATAAAAGTAAGGAATGAGACAAAACATCTTGAATCTCAAAGAAATAACTACATAGAATCTTACATTCCACCCACAGAGACATACATTAAAATAAACTCTTGTTAATAAAGCTTAAACTTGTGTTGACTGAGAAATACACCCTAGACAACATGGAATTGCTCATGTGTCTTGCTCGTTTAGGTTAAGTCATTTTCAGCACTTGACTTCTGGATCCCTACGCATTTTAGTAGCAACACAAGTTTGTAGTGCAAGTTTACAATGAATCACAACAGGCCTGTTCAGTAATAGCTCACACTAGAACTCCCTGATCTAGATCTTCCTGTGGATTGATCTCTATTCTGACTGAATCCTTTACAGTTAGATAAAGTCACATCCTAGTGCTTGTATTAGACACACCTTTGATGCAATGATGAAGAGCGTAGTGTCTGGTTTAAGCTCAGCCAGGGTTTTGGCTATATGAGTACCATCAATGTTGGATACAAACCAAACACGAGGGCCTCCCTTGGAATACGGCTTCAAGGCTTCAGTTACCATCAGAGGGCCCTGGACAGAAGAAGCAATTAGATTATCTTCATTGCAAGCGTGTACACACACAAAGATGTGGGAGATGTACAGCAGTCAGAAGCTTACCAAGTCAGAGCCACCAATCCCAATATTAACCACATCAGTGATTGCCTTTCCAGTGTAGCCTTTCCATTCACCACTACGGACTCTCTATGGCAAAAAAAAATTAGATATTGCAATTACTATTTCATATTTACACTAAAGTCAGCAATTCCAGCACTGGAAGTAGGCTGTGTTTTCAGGCATTGTTGTAGAAAGTCTCCAAAGACTTTCAAGTTTCTGGGCTTTAAAGCCTACACTCAAAGCTACCTTCTTAGCTAGGCATTTTGTGATGTCTAAGATTACACGTCATTATGTGTTACAAGTTTAAATGCACATATTTAAAAAACCACACTGCAAGATCAAACTTTCCTTTGGGTGGACTGCTATAGCATTTACAACAGAATGTTGGCAAAGGCAAGAGAAATCAAGCTAGAAACAAAAACATGTCGGAAATTTAATTATTTGAGACAAATATTTGAGCCTGAAGGGGTTCATTAAGTATCTTTAATTAGAACCAACTTCACTAATTAAACTAGAAGACATTAAAATATTAACAAAGCCATGGAGATAGAGATTTATTGACAAATCAAACATTAAAAAAGCTTTTCTATTGCACATATGCTTTGCATTGAGATTTATTTCTGAGCTTCATCTTAACAGCACATAGCAAGAATAGAGCAGAAACTTTGTACTATTTTAACAGTTACCACGAGTTCTGACCAACAAAATTACAATCAAGTAATATCAAAACGCTCCACTGAATTTTGTCCATCATGTACCACCTATGCATTAAATTTGTTCCAATCACAAAAGGAACCTTTCTAGTATCACACACACTTCTACACACATTCCCCAACTCTAAAGCAAATTATTCTACAACAAATCACCTGGCTATACTGATAGCTGCTCTCCTTCCCTACAGATGTTTAAGTTAAAGCTCTTTGAACAGAGAATTTTAGTATACACCATTCCTGTAGATGATGCCATAGTTTTAAAATCCCCTCTGCTTAAGCGAGTCAACTGAAACAAGCATCTTTGTTAATCTTTCCAAAGGAACTGCTTAACAAGATTTTTATTTTGCAGAGAAGATACATCTGCATTGAAAGTGATATTCACAGGCTCTCATGATTGATATCATGGAGCAATAAAGAGGGTGGCACAAGTGAAAACTTTGTTTTGCACTACCTAAAATTTAAATCAGCTAAAAACTCTACAGTGGAAAACAGACCATTGAATTTCCATGCCCATTCAACTCTTAAATTATCTGAAGAAACTACAAATTCAGACCAATTAGTGTTAGTTATTGTGGTTTTGGCCTTTATCCATTAGGAACAGGACATAATCCAGGCTTATTTTGCATAGGTTAATGAGTTGGCAGTGATACCAGTCACTACCACCCAGATAAGACTCAATAGCAATCAAGCAGGTCCAGTTCCTCACAGACATGTTTAAAATGCACCAAAACCATTTGGTGAGCTTTTACTGATTAGTTTCATCACACATAAATTTGACTTTGTTAGAGTGCTCTGTGAAGTTCTTCAGAGCATTTCCTCAACTGATCTGACAGATGCCTACGTTTTAAAGATGTACAGAATCATAGAATGGTTAGGGCTGGAAGGGACCTTCAAAGGTCATCTAGTCCAACCCCCCTGCAAGGAACAGGGATATCTCCAACTAGATCAGGTTGCTCAGGGCCTCAAAGAACAGCTAATGATATTGGAAGATAATGGTTAACTGCTGTATTTACTAGGGAACAAAAAACTTTCATACTGCTAAAATTGCAAACAGAATAGAATCATGGAGGAATCTGATCTAAAACCAGAACATCTTTAAGAAACTATTTAAATAGAACATAATGAAATTTTAAGTGAGCTGGGAGCTTCTACCCCTCTCCCGATTTTGCACAAATTTTAAGAGGTAGTTTCTACTTGATAGAGTCGAGTACTTGACAAACTAACAAGAAATAAAGCCATATTTGAATGGTACTTAATGATTCACAAGATGTCTGAAGTAAATGCAAGATTACTGCTAGAAGAGGAAGCTCTAGAGAGCCCATTCAAGAAAAATCAACATGGGAACAGAGAGAAGTGCATCATACTAAAACCAGCTCCAGCTCCAACTCCATGCTTGAACTAGAACCATTATAAATCTCAAAAAAGGTCACAATCATTAATGTGAAACAGCCTACAATCAATGTTTCACAAAACACATGTAAGAACCTGGCTGAGTATGGAACAAATATATAAAAAATAAGCTATGGTGGTAATTTATACCTGACAGAAGTGTTTCATTTTGTCCAACACTTTGTTTACTTCTGGAACAACATCCTTTCCATCTACAAGTATTGGCACATTGGAACGATTTCTCAGAGCAATATGAAGCACAGCTCGGTTCTGAAACAAAAAGGGAAAAAAATTGATGAAACTATTTCCAAATTATACCCAGAGGCCTCAGTTGCCTCATCAAGAGAGTAGTACAATCTTCAAGACTTAAAAATCCTTTAGATTAACTAGAATTAATAGAGCAGTAGTTTGTGTGTATGTGTATATACACACACTCATCACCAGCTAGCTAAATCACACTCACTTCACAGAATCAGTGCAGAAGGCTTACAAAAGCATACAATGCAAACACACAGCTTGTTTGTTTACTTTAAAAAGAAAGCTCAAAACCCCTTGAAAAGCATTTAACAATTGAGGTTCAGAATTCAGTACTCAGTGATCTTAATTATTTTGGCATGCTTCAGGTACACAAGAATGAAGTTTGTTTCTTATTAATGATGATACTGAAAATCAATAATAACAAGCAGCCAAAAGTTATTTCTCTGGCATTTTCTCAATAATTCCAAGTAGTCCATTTCATATTGGAAGAGACAAATATCTATTCAAGCATTTGACAAGAAATGTATACAATAGCCACATTATTCTATCCACCACCCACAATTAAATGTTCCCTGAATACTTGCACACCAGATACACAGGTGGTAGTTGTGTTACGAGAAAAAAACATATCCATTAGCATGCACCATGTTATATTGTTTCTCCACATTTATACACAACTCAAAGCACTGAAATCCAGCCTGCGATTCATCCATTCAGAAGTTAACAGTTTTAATCTAGATTGAAGGAGTTCGTCAATACTAATATGAACAAATTAAAAAATTAGTCTGCTCTACCTCATTGTTCCTCACTACAATAAGAAGCATTGTGAGACAAAGACAACACAGACAATATGAACTGCCAAGTTATGATTTAAATACCAAATGCTAATTCAAAAATCATTGAGTTTGTGGTTACTGACTTGGAATACGAAAAAGCTTTCAGTTGCTAATTATCAAAGTGTACCCACTTAAATTTAGGGTGAACGGGGCAAATTTTTTTGCAACATTCAGCCATGGAATGGTATTATTTGGCAAAAACTGCCCACTATCAGACTTGAAGGAAGCTTTGTCTTGGTCAAGAGAAGCAGTCATATTTGACCCGATGTCTACTGCTAGCTAAAAGTATTTTCTAAGTATCAGGTGGGCTATGAAGACTATCCCCATAATTAGTGGTCAGATATGTGCTACCTTGTAATGCACTGTCTTTGAGCCATATCAAGCTGCAAGTTTTAACTCATCTGGGACAAACACCTGGCAATGACACACTTGGGTGCACTTTAAAGAATTTCCACATAAGCACACACCATGCAGCCAATGCCTGCAGCACCAAATACAGACAAGTCTTAAATACTTAAGACAAATAGCTAAAAAATGTTCTAAAACAGAACAAGACTAGTGGACAAGTCAGTTCTTGCCATTAAGCAGCTCCCTTCTGTCTTACTGCTAGAGGTTTATTCAGTCATGCGGTTTGACAGCATCCTGGTTTTAAGGTCTCATGACAGTTTCACACTGTCCACATGCTCATATTCCAGAGCCTAATCAATATCATTTGATATTCTATACAAACAGGAAAAAGTGAAACAAATCAAATCTGATTCCAAGTCAACTTCTGGCTGTAAGTAAGAAACAGCCTGACAATGAAAGAGATGTCTCTAGACCCATCATGCACGTAATTGCTACATGAAGCTGCCATATCAGGACAAAACAAGGAGCTAGCAGCAGAAGCCAAACACAGTTTAATACTGTGATTAAGTACTTTCTGTGAAAATTGCATTCTTCTGAGAAGACTTCAGCTGTTATGTTTGCTCTCATGCAGACAACGAAAAGTAACTCCATCATATATGGTCAGAGATGGGCCAACTGTAATAATTTGTGTTACACGAGGTTAGTGAGAGGCAATGTCTGAGACAACAATCCTCCGGGTAGTTAGGAAATCACCCTCTTTTTTCCACTTCCTTTTTCCACTAGCTAGAATTACACCTGTGAATCAAAGGCATTAAATAGAAGGAAGATAAATCATTTTTCCAGTTAAACTTTATCTGTTTCCACCTGCATTTTTCCAAACAGAGAATTCACAAACAATACAATGTCCAACCACTGAGTTATTTCAAGCAAACAGCTTGTGCAACAGCTAAATCAGTCAATAACCAAGTCAAAGGAAATACTAATTTCTGTGAATTTACCTCAACCACACTAAATAGCCTTTAATATTTAAGGCAGAGTAATAAATCACACTATAGAGTTTCCAGTTTTCATCCCATTTTTAATTTCGGAAGAAAGGTATAGTTGATTTTTGATGTTTTAGTGAAGATTTAACCATAATTACAACCTTCAGATATCTACAAAGATAGGAAAACACTCATCCTTTTACTCAAATAGGTGGCTAATTTCCCAAGATTGTTTATAGTCTCTACTGTTAAACATACCCAAAGATAAGTAGCTTCAACAACCCAAAGCAGAAAGTCTTACACAATCCTCACTAAGACTTTGTAGTCAGTTTACTAAACTTTATGAACACTGACATTAGGCAAAACCATGTAATGGATACTTGGAACACAATACTCTGCACCATGCCCTTTGCAAGATCTAACTCATCATCCCCTCTACAAGAGGGAAGACAAGCAAAAAAAACCCACCAAAATCTCTAAAAAAAAATGTGTGTTGAATGCAGGATCGAATAGCTTTATTCACACACATTTTCTTCTTTTTGTCAGAGCTGTAAAAATTTCTCACACAAGTAGTGCAGCGAACATTACAACCACTCAGCATTTCAGAGTAGCAATTAGAGTAAGTTTTTCCAAGACTTCTCTTACACAGATGCACGAACATCCCTAATATACAGACATAGCTGAGGGGAAAGAACCATGGACAGAAATAGCCTTACCTCAGTGAAGTTGATCTTCTCTCCACCGAACATACGCTCTCTGGCACTTTCCACACCCCTTGACTTTGCCTTAGAAGTGTAAAAATAGATTCCTCTTAAAAATAGTAGGAAGTCAACGTATATTACAAAGGTCCAGCTACATTAAATGTGAACATTTATCACATAAGACAGTGAAGCAAAATTGATGATATTACTTTAAAAGTCCCACTAGATTCTAATTTAAAAAATTGATTCTCTTATTTTAAAGCAAGTATTTTTATGCAGGCTGTTTATTGCCTTAAAGAGGTTACACAGTAATATGTGCTGACTGACCAAGATGCAATGAATCCATCTTAATCACTCAGTTTCATCTTGTCATGCTGCTACAGGATTCATTAATGATTCTTAGTAACACTTAAGAATTTTTTTTTTTAACTGACAACTAGCAAAAGTAATTTTGCTATGGCTATTTTTGCTAGTTCTTCCCTTTTTAAAAATCTGTACCCTATCTGGTCTAAGCCTTTGGCTGAATCGATAATTAAGGAAGGGTTGTAAATATGGACACCATGCTAAATTGAAGTTAATGACGGAAACTTCCTTCCTGAAGTACCTCCAACTGCAAATCAATCTCAAAACTAAGACTGCATGATACACAAAGTATTGTTTCAACTGCAGGTATCGAAGACATCACCTTCTCTTACATTTATATGGATCTCTCATTTTACTGCAGACCTCTAACGGCACCAAATGCCAGCTGGTCTGTTACACAGACAAAACTTTTCCAGTGAGCACAAGAAAGCAGTCTGCATATTGAAAAATGGCCTTGTACCTTGGGGCTAAAGGACAGTACAACTCTTTGAACAGTGTCAAGATGTGTAAACAGATGCCTTTTAACTCTGATGGTCTCAAACTCAGAGCTAAATGTGTATTAGCAATGCTAGAATAACCAGTTGCAGGTAAAAGTTAACTTCTTAAAAAAAACTTATTTGGTTTATTAATTCAACATTTTAAAGAGTTACCAGTTCCATCAGCATTTTCATCACTTCTTCCGTAACAAGGTTCTTCGAATAGTCCAGTAAGATATCCCCATGATCAGTATTCAGAGTCAAGCTATCAAAACAAGCAGGTTGTTTAATTACATTTTCCTGAAGAGTGACTGTTTAAGCAAGACAATGATAGGTCCTCTACACATGACAAAATAATTGGAATCCTAATTATACTGACTTAGTAAAGATGACCTGAGGGACTGATTTACCCTACACATTTCATAAAATGACTTACTAATACATTGCTTTAATTGAAGACTATAGTTTTCAACAAGCAAAATTAGTGTCCAGTTTCTGCTTGTGAAAGTCCAAATACAATGAAGTACATTTAATGCACAGTTGAACAATCACATTCTGTTTTCACCGAGCCACTAGCACTCTCTAGCAATAACTAGCTTTCTCTTACTATATCACAGGTAAAAAGTCTGCCACATTCTTCCACTGCTAGAAAATTAAACTATCTTCCTACAGGTCCTTTCAACAAATAGTCATCATTTATATGGAGACTTGAACAAGCCCAAATTAAAAATCCATCCAAGTTCACATACAGAAACATTTTGTCAACTACTACACAGAATTAAATCTCATTTGTGCATGCTGTAGTCTCACTATCCTCACTGACTCAGCGGATGTCTCGAAAATACTTAACTAATTCTCATCTGAAAGCTACAGCGTAACACCTCAAAATACAAGCACTTTTAAACATCTGAGATGAAACACAGAAACGGTAGTCCAGTAGAAATCAAGTGAACCTGTTTGTATTTACCAGCCTTGTATCTCTGTGAGAAGTTCTACAGTCCCTCTAGCCCTTTACAGAAGTTTTCTACCCATTTCTTTCTTGCACTAATTTACAGTCAAACATACACATTTACTCTTAAACTGAAGAACTGAAGTTCTATAAGGAATTCAGTAGACCTTCTACAAAAGCACAAAAGACCTTTTATATCTTACTCTCACTTTTGCTCCACACACAAGCACCTAAATTCTCTGTGTTTCTGCATTGTTCATTATCTCCCCTGCTTTTTCTTTCCCAATACAGAGATATGCACTGTTATTTTAGTGACAATGCATGCCAGAGGTGTCGCAGAGACAAAACATGGCATAATTGCTATTCCCAACAGATATAATGTGACAGAGCAGGCAAGATTCTGCAAAGGAAAATCAGAGCTGAACTTGCAATAACAGTAATAAACAGCAAGGCCTAGACATTTGGGTGGTGTCATTAACTTGGGGAAAAAACACTATTATGTCCTTCTTCTGGCCTTAAAACACAAGAGACACTAAATAAGTAAAGGAAGGTGTCTTCAAGCACAGTCTTAGAAGAGTGTTTCTTTTATAGGTGACAACAGGAGGCAAGTAAGGAGAAACAGTCTATCAATAGTGTTCATCACCCTTCTCTTCAGTGGGCTGCAAACAGTAATCCTGAAACCCTGCCCACCCAGCATAACCATTCCAGGAAGATGGCTAGCTAAAGAAAGGACTGTTACCTCTCACCTGCCAAATCTGCTATAACTCAAAATTCTCATCTACAGTTTAATATAGAAAGTCTTTCCCAGTGTTCTAGTCCATGAACATGAAATCCCTACAATCTCTTCTATGTTTACCTGACATACCTTACTTCTACAACTCATTGTTATTTTACTTACATGAATAAAAGTCAATCTCCCTAGACCTAGAAGACACAGTATCCTGTGAAATTCTGGCTGGATTCAAATCACTACTCATTTGAAGAAAGTGCAAAAAGATGGCATCCCAAGACATTTCATGAAAAAACAGCAAGCAATGGCCACCAGATCTAACATCCACACACACAAGGTGGAACATACAGTATGCAATGTAATCTCATTTTAAACCCCTACACCAAGAGATCCACCCTTTACTTAAAGAGAAGCCCAAAACCCTGCACTCAGTTGCATTCTGCTACACTACCCATTCTGCAATGCAGCAGCTATGGTAGCTCTACCCAGGTGGAAGAAAAGACTTGTCACATAAGCCACATCCACATTTAAGTGACGCAGCCCTTAATCGGACGGTCATCTGCAGCATCACAGAACAATTTTATCTGCCAGCTAAATACAAACTAAAGCAGCTGCATGCAACCCCTAAATTACACATGGATTCCCTAGTGGTACGTTCTCCATTTAGATTGGAGGCTCTTTCTGATCCTTTGTAATGGACGAGCCAATTAGCAGG